TAAATCAGCATATTAGAATGATTTCTGAAGGATCATGTGACACTGAAGACTGGAGTAATGATACTGAAAATTCATGTTTGCATCACAGGAATAAATTACATTTTAATGATGTATATTAAAATAGAAAAACTTTATTTTACATGATAATAATATTTTTATTTTTCCTGTTCAAATAAATGCAGCCTTGATGAGCATAAGAAACTCCTTTAAAAACATAAAAAATCGTTCTGATCCCTAACCTTTGACCGGTAGTGTGTGTATATATAAATATATATATATATATATATATATATATATATATATATATATATATATATATATATATGTATGTCTGCACAGGGAAACAAACAAAAAAAAGTGTGTTAATGTAATACACTGCACTACTACTAGAGTAAAGGGCTGATGGCTGGTGTAGTAAATACACATGCCCGATTACATCACACTGGCCTTACTGACTGCACATTTGTAAAGTGTCGTCACACAATCAAAAGTCCTGGCTATTCCCCAGACAATCCATGAAAAATTTACATTGTTTCAAAGCAGTAGAAAAAGTAACAGAAAATGATGGTGTGGCTGAAGATTACTTGATTGCTTTATGCTTCACTGCAGTCTAACAGTTGTTATCTAATAAAGTTTTCAATAAACAACAGTGAATCCTGCTAACCACAAAATCAATCAACAAATCATTCTAACATTCATTCAATTCATCAAGCCTGACTGCTACGTGAGCAGTGCAAAAAGGCATTTTCATATTTCTTGCAAATTTGAAAACATCTTTTAACATTTTTCTTACAATGAGATGAACGATCGTGCGTATGATGTTCTCTCTATTGCAGTTAGCACAACAAACCGTTATCACAGTCCGATTACAATTCATCGACTGAACTATCAGAATATCCATTGTTACCCATCTTTTCAAGTCGTAATGCTCAAAATGATGGATCACAAAAGGACTTTTCTATTGATTACCAAGCAAGATCAATATCCACTTCTGTATTCAGTCTAGCTTTATGATTCTCATCAAATGTTATGCACAGAATCAATGAGTAACACAATTGACCTGGCAATGTTATAACTTGGCACAATATATGTTTCCGATAAATAAGAACTAACTAAAACTGCAGAGAAAACACAATCAAAAGAGTAGTAAAAACTACAGGACAAAGTGCAATTTAGAAAATTAGAAAAAAATGTAATTTGGAAATAAATCCCACAAGGTAAAGAAAGCACAATATATTTTTATTGAATTTATTGTTATGTTTTACACAGGTTTTTGAATAGTTCTAATATTGGAGATTGACAGTGCCAAAATATAAACACCCATTTCATTTTTTTTCTCTCTCTCTCATGATCTCTTTAACATTGAATTGATTCCTTTTTTTTCCCCATTGTAACAAAAATGAAAGCATGTGAGTACATGTATATAAAAGACAACGGAAAAAAAAAAACTACAGTCCAACAACAAGATTCCTGTGCCCATCAATATTAATTACAGGTAATACTTTTAAGGACCTGCCTTGACTGTGTTTTCTTTTTTCCCTAACAACAGAAAACGATAGTAAATAAATGTACAATTGTTAATATCCATGAGCACAAGGAGCACCTTGAACAGAAGGCAAAGGGGAGTGCATATAGTGCTGCAGGACTGGCCAGTTGTTTCTGTAGATCGTCTTGCTTGGTTGCGAACTTATAAACTCTTTCCCCTTTGCTCTGTGGAGATTTTAAAAACTTTGAATGTTTTTGTCCGCAAGAACCAAAGCAACACCAATCTCTGATGGGTATTAGGAATGTAGACAAGGATCCTCAGAACTAAAAAACAAAAAAAAACATAAAAGGAGTCAAATTTAAAAAATGACATTTTCCATTCATTTAAACATGTCTGTAAAAGGATATAAATGCAACATCTCAAACATACATTCTTGAGGAATTCCTCTGCGACAATTCGGGCCCGAGCGTTGACTGACAGCTTCATCTCACTGATCTCCTTGTCAATCTCCTCCATGAAATGGATAACAAAGTCCACCAGCTTGTGTTTATACATCTGTTCTGTGTGGAAGTTGGTGATGAGGAAGCTGATGTCATAGCCCTGAAAAGCACAAAAGAGGAAATGAGAAAACATGCTAATCTTGTTAATAGTTTAGATGCTTCACATGCACATCATCATTCAGCTATGCATTTCAAACCGTAAGGTTTATCACATAAACATGCAATTTTTTCCTTAGTCCTGAAGGAGTTGATTTCCAATCCCCTCCTTTTCTATTATAAAATGAATACGTAATCATAGTTTTCTTAATACTAGTGTATCTACTCTGGTATTTATGTTACAGGCAATGTCTGTATTTGGTATCTGAGAGGTGACTGAGGATCTGACCCATGTCAGGAATGCAGTAACAGTGTTTACTCATTTAGCCTGGCTTCCAGAGAATAAATATGTATTTGTTTTGTAATAATTTATCTGAATCATTATATAATCAACGGTTATATTGAACTTTATTCTTATTTATCTTATTATGAGGTTCTCATGATAGCCGTATGAGACATGTGCAGACCAATGCACCACATGCATTCACTAACTCTTACATATGCTTAATGTTTATGATTTTTTTGAGGGTTTATATTCTTTAGAGGGTTTTAATTGCTATATGTTAAACTATGACAGAGAATCATGTATGCTCTGTGTAAATGTATTGTCCTGTTCCAGTGATGTGCTGCAGCTCAACCTTGAAGGGACAAGATATTGCCTATGTTTTATCTGATGGCGTATTTGCAAGGTTGTTTTAGGCATGTGACAATGCCAAAGGAACAGTATCCAGGAGAATCAACAGCTGCACAGATGAGCAGTGCCCTCACAAGATTTATGACTTAGTTACGACCCTTACAATAGTTGCTTACGAATGGAACTTAGTGTCTCCAAGATACTGTCTTAAAGAAAAGAACACCTTGCTTGGATGTTTCTAGAATTATCTGTACTGTTGTTAACCTATCAGAACAACAGATCATCCATATGCCTATAAGTACTAGTGTTTCTGTATTCTAAGTTAGTTCGAGGCTGACTCCTCTTACTCGTTTTCTACGGCCTTTGGAAGTGTGGAGAACTCTGTCTTCAGTAAACTCTGTCAACTCATTGAACTTTAAATTTGACTCCTGGTCTTCATTGAGCATACTGGTCTCTTTATGGGGTTTAACTGTAATTCCCCTACTGTCCCAATGTCCTACTCGACTCCACCAAAAAAACTTGACATGCATGTTAGTGATGGGCACTTTTGAAAACCTTGGAAACTTTTGCATATCATTTGTTTTGAATCCGTTTCAAACTACGAATGTGACATGATTTCAGTAAATGAGGCTTTGTTACGTCATAACATAACAGGCCGATGATCTCTGTGAAGCCATGAACCAATCTCTATGTGGTTTTCACCTAATCTCTGATCAATTCTATAAATCAGTAGACATTTTAATGACACATTTGTATAATAAAAAGGATGAGACGTAGTTAGCCTCATATTAGCCTGATTAACCGAGCTCTCCATAAAACGAACAAAACATGCCCTACAAATTAATAAAATAACATATTATACAGACACGTCTTATTTAATATTTTTAGACGATTTGTTAATTGCATTTAGTTGATTACACTTTCAATAAAACATTTGCAATTGGTTTGTAAAAGGTCTTTTTATGCATGTGTGGGCTGTGTTTTGGGATGCATTTACACTATTTTGACCAGCATGTGGTGTTTCGAGTGCTTCAAAAAAGTGAATAATTTTGCAAAGCTATTCATTCAAATGATTCACAGTTTCGAAAAGCTTTGTTTCTCCCATCACTGATGCATCTTTGGTTTAATAAATTACATATCTCTTCATCCCTTGTTCGTTCTTCACAATAGAGCTCACCTCAACAGGTTTCCTCCGCAGGATGAAGAAGTTCTCTGCTCGCATCATCATGAACCTCATAAATTTATGGCACAGGATCTTCTCAATCTCATCGGCCTAAGAACAGCATGACTATCTTTAGAAGATAATGGCAAGAAAAACACATCGATCTTACGCAGTTCATCCTAAATTACTTACCTGCTTGACAGCGATGCTGACTCTCACGGAGTTTATGGACCCCTCAATCAGGACCTTCTCCTTGTCATTGCGGCTTATGACCACAGGCTGCAACAGAAGCTCTTTGCTGCTCCTGTATTGTAAGACACACATTGCACACACACATATATATATATATATATATATATTAAAAGACATCATATTTAACACATAAGAAGGACGTGGGGTGTATGAATGATTTCCTCACCTAACCTCTACCTCAGGCTTGTTGTGTCTCTCCACCACCTGAGAGGAGAAGTTCTCCAGACACAGGGCTGCTTGAAGAGTGGCACGCACCGCGTTCAGGTAGGGTCGCAATGTTGCCGTCTACATACAAAAAGGACAATATTTACTTAAGTAACACTTCATTCTATGACCTCTCTGACCTTAAAGGTGTCTTATAGTTATCATAAACACACAGGAACATGATTGTCAGTTTGTGCTTGGCCATTCCACTGAGTTCGTGTCAGTCATTTAGGTGGTGAAGTGTCAATCATCTGCCTGAACATCACTTACTAACAACTACCGGTTGTTCTAAATGAACTAAACACGTGTCGTTTATTAAATATTTCATCTGTGCAGTGTGATGCGCGTTTATTGTTTTCAATATGCCAAAAAGAGGTTTTGTCTGCAAAATCACTGACGTTAGCCAGCTAGCATAAATCAAGACAGACTAACATCACTCGATCAAATGAGCCAAAAACACTGCGCTGAGCGCATACAAATGGTTTACCCGAATGCTGCTTATTGGGTCATTTGATTGCTTGCGCTACAATAAATAAACAACCACAGCAACTTTAAGAATTACAAATCTCTTACCATTTTATATGAGGTCTGTGGAGGAAGACGGAAGTCCGCACGCCACGCCTGGAAATGAGAAAACACGCCTCCATTGCGTTCTCACACTCCCGTAATATACCTATTAGAAGTGCATTCTTGTTTATCATATGCTCATGATTTAAATGTATACGAGTGAATGGTATATAATTAAATGCATTTCCATACCAACACAAGTTCTTATGTTTCTATTTTAAGCGCGTAAATTGGGAGAAAAATATAAACACCAAAACGGCCGTTATTATGTCACATCTGTTCCTGTATTTACGGTGAAGCCCAGCACCAATCTTACCATTATTTGCTTTTTCTTCCTTATATGGCAAATAACACGATGGGTCTAATTCACTGTAGTCAAAAAAAAGGTGATGATCTAGAAATATCACTGTGTTGAAATAAACGATAACTCTTTTGTGGCTTTAAACAGCACATGAGCCTCTAAAAAACGAAATAATCTTTAATTATAGTGTTTGGACGCGCTTCATACGGGAATGTACCATTCCGTACGCTGCGGTGTTTTGTGGTGGATGTTAACTGCCAAGTGGGGATATTCATCTGATATTGAAAAATGAGTTTGCAGATAGTACATACACATCGGTTAGAATGTGTTAATAAACCATACGTTGACCATACTAAAGCCACTGTAATACACATTCTTGTTATTAAAATTTAATCGGTGAGCTGTAACCCCCCGAGCTGAGATAATGGTTTAGTCAGTAATGGATGCCCCTTCATCGGAGGTAAACAATGATATTTTATGAATAAATGCCTTGTATGGGTTCAGTTCTGTATTATAACATATTATTTAATTGTCTACATGCATCTTTTCACTGCAAGTAATATACATATTTATTGTAAAAATGTTACGACCTGTGGTTTGAACTGCATGTAGCTGAATTAGCATGAAGCCGTTAGCTCACAGTGGCTACTCATTATCTCACACCGGTATCGTATCAGTATTACATAACAGACTAAAAAGACATTACAGTGATGCAATGCATAAAACATTTAAATTTTAATCTATAAACCTAATGAATAACATCTACAGCATTACATCTGTTCTGGGTTTGCTTGCATTGTCTTTCTGTGTAACTGTTTGCTTTTACCACCCGACCAAAATCATTTACAGTCTGTGTTATTCAAAAATCAATAGTAGATAAGAATTTATCAAACCATTTTGGACGCCTCACACAACCCTTTTTTATATTCCTTTTTTTTTTCTCAGATATAGGTTCCTGTTAATGAGAAGATGAGTGAACTGAAGGACTGTCCCCCTCTGAAGTACTATGACTTCAAACCTGTGGACCATGTGAAAGTATGTCCACGCTACACAGCAGTGCTCAGCCGCTCAGAAGATGATGGCATTGGCATTGAGGAGCTGGACACGCTTCAGCTGGAGCTGGAAACACTCCTCTCCTCTGCAAGTCGGCGTCTCAGAGCACTGGAAGAACAGAGACAGGTGAGCAGTGTTTTGCTATTTATCTTTCTCCCACCTTCTGATATACCTAAAATGATTTATGTTTACTCTCTGAAACAGATACTTACAGACTGGCAGGACAAAAAAGGGGACAAAAGGTTTCTGAAATTAGGGAAGGATCCAGATCTCGCAGCCTCTTCTCGTCATTCCAAGCCCAAAAAACAGAAGCTTGATGGAAAGGGAAGTCATGGTCCCGGACCTGGGCCAGGTAGACCGAAGTCTAAGAACATACAGACCAAGGTCCAGGACTTTGAATTTGAAGTGGACCCCCAAGATATACCCCGCAACCCTAAAAATGATGCTCCCAACAGGTTTGCTGCAACTGAATGTTTTGTCTGTGATACATAATGTATATTTATAGGAATATAGACCAGATATAAGATACAGATCAGATTTTTGCCATCATTTTTCATACTACCTAGATGTTAAATTAAATAGTTGCTATACTTTTTTATTTCATGCTTTATTGATTCCAGAGGAGACATGTTAAGTTATGAGTATTCAGTCATTTTTTTATTGAATATTATGTAAACAGATCCAAGCCTGGAATTTTATTCACCAATTAAATGCGTTAAATTGATCAAAATTGACGACAAAGATATTTATAATACAATAATTTACAAAAGGTTTATTTTTTTTTAAATAAATACTGTTTTTTTGAACTTTCCATTCATCAAAGAATCCTAAACAAATATATATTGGTTTCCACAAAAATATTAAGAAATGTAACAAATATAAAAATATGAATATTATTAAATAATATTACATAAAAAATTATATTATTATTAAATATAAGAAGCACTATATTCAGTATTGATAATAATAAGAAATGGATCATCGGACACTAAAGACTGGAGTAATGGCTGCTAATATTCAGCTTTGCCATCACAGGAACAAATTACATTTGAAAATATATTCAAATAGAAAGAAGTTTTTGTAATACTGTAGAATTGTAATATTTCACGGCATTTTCACAATTTTTACTGAATTTTTGATCAAATAAACGCAGTTTTGTTGAGCATAAGAGACTTCTTTTAAAACATTTAAAAATATTACCGACCCCAAACTTTTGAATGATTGCAGTGATTGCATTTTTGTGGTTTATATATGTGTGTGAAACAGATTCTGGGCTTCGGTGGAGCCTTACTGTGCAGACATTACAAATGAAGAGATCAGAGTTCTGGAAGAGCTGCTCAAACCCCCTGAAGATGAAGCTGAATACTACAAGGTAAAGATCTTTTAGAAACTAGTTCATGGTCTATATTACTGCAGCTTTCTCTTTCCTTTCCTTCAATTAATTATGCATATAGAGAAATTCATGTTAAATGGCTTTTGTGTTGGTTGTTCACTTCTGAGCACTCACTGTTGGTTTTCTTTGCAGATCCCAGCTCTCGGAAAGCACTATTCCCAACGCTGGGCTCAAGAGGACCTGTTAGAAGAGCAAAGAGAGGGGGCAAGAGCCAATGACAAGAAAAAAAGCATGATGGGTCCTCTTTCTGAACTGGATGCTAAAGGTAACGGTGTCATTTAAGATGTATCTTGATTTCAGTTGCAACATTGTCATTTGTTGCTGTGTCTTACCTTAAATCTGTTTCTTTTATCCTCTACTATTCTACTATTCTGGTTTGGGTAGATGTAGACGCCCTACTGAAGAAATCCGAGTCTCAGCATGAACCTCCTGAGGACGGCTGTCCTTTTGGCCCTCTTACTCAGCGGCTTCTACAAGCACTCGTTGAGGCCAGTGACTCATCATTTTGCTAAAATAAGTACTTATATTGTGCAACATTTAGTCAGCTCAGCTTGTTTTATTCATATCCTTTTTCATGTATGTAGGAAAACATCATATCCCCTATGGAGGATTCCCCCATTCCAGACATTCCAGGGAAGGATGATGGGGCTGGTACATCGCCTCGTAGCCAGGGTAAAGCCTTCAGGTAAGTGTTTTGTCCATGTTTTATTTTTATGAGTTTTATTTTATGATTTAGTCAATTAGTGATGTTTACTTGTTTTATTTTGACCATTCAAAAGTTTAGGGTTTGTAAGATTTTTTTTAAATGCTTTTGAAATGCGTATCTTATGATTTCCACAATACAATAAAAACAGTAATATTGTGAAATATTACAATTTAAAAGAAATCTTTTCTATTTTAATACATTTGAAAATATCATTTATTCCTGTGATGCAAAGCTGAATTTTCAGCAGCCATTACTCCAGTCTTCAGTGTCACACGATCCTTTTGAAATCACTCTAATATGCTGATTTGATGATCAAGAAACATTTCTTATTGTTATGATTGCTAAAAAAACAGTTGTGCTTATATATATATAATTTTTATTTTATTTTATTTTTTTATGTATTTTTTAAAAATGTTTTAAGTATTCCTTGATGAATAGAATGTTATTTTTAACTTTTATTTGAAATAGAAATATTTTGTAACATTATAAATTTTATAACATTATAAACTATGAAACATTATAAATCTTTACTGTCACTTTTGATTGTTTTAATGTATTCTTGCTTATTAAGTTGCACCAGCACTACTTTCAAACACATTTAGGTGGATGTTTTTGGCTGTTTTTTTTTTTTTTGCCACTGTTTTTTGAGCATCTCGCCACAAGCTTTGAAGATGACATGTCAAGTTAAAAATACTCTTTGTTTTAACCCCTCTCAGCACTCGTTCTGAAACTCTAAACATTCTGACTCATTTTTTTGTGCTTTGTCGAAAGCAGAAACTCATCAGGTATGGGTCAGGTGAACCTGAAACCAGCCTAATCATTTAGGGCCAATTAAGATTGATCAGTTAACTAGTTGTTCAGGCAACCCACCAGCTAGATGATTTTGAAAATAGTTTTTTTTTTCTTGTGTACAACAGAGACGGAAAAAGGAGTTATTATTATAATATAAAAAGTGAGACTACGAAATGCCCATTTTTAGCTAAATTAGCAGTCTTCATTCTCTCTATCTTTCACTTTTTGTAGTCAACATGAATCAGCACTCACAACTCATTTTTACTTCTGTAATGTGATGCATTTTTGAGTGAAACTGGATATTCAGTAAGGGGAAAAAACATGGATTTTATACATCAGGATTGGATGGTGAAAAGTAGAGCAGAATATATGATAACTAGCTATTGGTTAACATTATTCAGTAGCCTCCATGGCCTGGGTGACATCATTCTAAAAAGATGACGGAGAGAGAGAGGCAGAGAACGCAATTACATTTTGATAACAGAGCATAAAACCAAACTTTGAAAGAATTTTTCTTGAAAATAACAATTGTGTTCATCAATAAAGTAAATAGATTCAATTTTATTTTTTAATATTCTCTTGTTCTGTTGCTCCCAGTGTGCCTCACACACGCTCTCTGGAGGCTCGTATAAGAGAAGAGCTGGTGTCTCAGGGGCTGCTGGACTCTGATGAGAGACAAGGTGTCGGAGGAGAGTCTGAAGACGAAGTGCTGGCCGAGCTGCAGAAAAGACAGGCTGAACTCAAAGCGCTGACCGCCCACAACCGCTCGCGCAAACAGGAGCTGCTCAAGTGAGTCTCACTGAAAGAGCCTCAGATCCAGATCAAGACTGCCGTCAGCACAAGATGAAATCTGGCTCACGAAAATAAGCCTGTAATCATTCAAAGAGTTAGAGGGAGCAGTCTGCTATGATTTTCTTTTCTAATGTCACCTCTTACTTTTCACCGTGTTCTTGCAGGTTGGCACGGGAAGAAATGCGAAAACAGGAGCTTCGACAGCGGGTTCGAGTGGCTGACAATGAGGTTATGGAGGCCTTCCGTCGCATCATGGCAGCCAGGCAAAAGAAACGCACTCCAACAAAAAAAGAGAAAGATCAGGCTTGGAAAGCTTTGAAAGAGAGAGAAAGTATTCTCAAACTCTTAGATGGATAAATATGACCGGCAGCTATA